TCTACCGATGAAGGGTCACATCTAAACTACAAAAACCGTCAAATCTCATGACCTGACATCTAGGCGTTGGTTACTGAAGCCTATTTTCCACCTTCTTGGGATGAATTTCTAGGCATTGTGCTCTTTTTGGATTCAAGGCACTACTTTTGGGTGCCTTGACGTTGATCTGTGACGCTTACTTTCTGCATATGAGTGGCTAGGCTCTCGTATGTGGGGGCCTACTTTCTGCATCCGAACGCCTAGGCACTGGGCCTTCACTTAACAATTTTTTTGAATTTCTTTAGCTACGATGACGTTTCTTTCCTAAATCCTGCTAAAAACAACACAAATACCTTCTAAAAGCATGTAAAATTAACATAAGAATATAGTAAAGTAAAACATAAACAAGTACATTCCCTACGAACATCAGTAGCCACAAGACTACCACGGGTATGCTACATGATCCATAATAGCCCTAACTCTCATCAGCGATGGACCTCTTTTAATGTTTCAGAGTTCACACCATTCTGTGTATCACACATCTTGGAGGAAGGTTTCCATGAAGTGGCACAAAGATTCTCTATTTTTTCTATGTGTTGTATGTGGGAGGCGGCAGAAATGGTGTACCCACGCCACTAAGGTGGCACATTTGCGCGTGGCACATCTGCGCTATAATGGCGCAACCACTTCATAAGTGGAGTAAATACACCAGTGCATCTTAAAGTGGCACTTATCTATCATTTCCACCATTTGATCCCGATATGAGCACCTATGTATGATTTGGAATGAAATTGGGTGCCTCCATTGTGTTAGTTCTTATGTATAATTGATTCATTAATATATGTAACCTATAATTAAATATAAAAATACTCGGAAATGTATAAATATGATACAAATAGTAAAAGGAAATACCAAAAAATATAGAAAAAATGTCATAAATTTTACGCATATCAAGCGGAATGTTGGATAGAGCATTCTGATTTGTTTTTAATCATTGATTTTGGTGAATTATATTTTTTCTTGAACTTTTGCTCTATATGTGACGAGTAACATTTAGAGCAATGATGATTATCAATCTCCTAGTCCTAAATGACTTGTATGCATAACCCATAACATGTGGCCTAAATTTGTGTGATTTATGACAGTGACATAAAGTACTGTAAAATAACATCTTAGTTCTAAATAGAGCTCAAATTGCCCCTCCTTTTTTATTATGTATATTACTTTTGATTAGTTTTGTATTTTATATTATGCTTACTCATTTTACCTCCTTGTAGCCCCTTTTAATTTTTGCCTTGATTTGTAATTGCTCATTAATGAAATTTGGGCTGAGCCTAAGACAAAAATAAATAAATAAATAAATAAATAATAATAATAATAATTGCAAATGTTTGTTTTTTTTTTCATGGTACCTGATCTAATGTGGGATTGGGGACTGTGATTGGGAGGAAGAGAAATAAGCCATGAGTCCTCCCCGCCCCCTTCTCTCCCTCGCCAAATCCCTCCACGCTTTCCGCCCCGCCATTCTTCGATCAATCTCTTCCACCCCTTCTCTCTGTTTCCAAACCCTAGATGCTGATTCTTTACCTGCGTTGGCGCCGCGCACCCTTGCAGAGCTCCGCCACCGACTTGAAGCAGAGTCGCCGGAGCTATCAGACTTTGTTTACTCTGTTGAAGTTGGAACGAAGAAGAAACCTCTTCCCAAGCCGAAATGGATGCAAGCGACAATTCCTGGCGGGGCGAAGTACGCGGCTATCAAGGCTAAGTTGCGGGAGCTGAATTTACACACGGTCTGCGAGGAAGCGAAGTGCCCTAACCTTGGAGAATGTTGGTCCGGCGGCGAGACGGGAACCGCTACGGCTACCATCATGATCCCTGGCGAATCCCGCCCCCCCGGGGTTGGCGATACCTGCACCCGCGGTTGCAGGTGAGTTTGGATTGAGTCGCTATTATTGTTATAATTTTACTTTTTTATTTTTTTTTTCCCCTTCTGGAACTGGAAGAAAACAAGAGCCAACTCTTTTCATTAGAATTTCAAGTTCTTTTTGTGCGATGGAAAGCCTTCTAAGTTGGTCAATGATCATAATTATTTGATGATTTTACACTTAGTTCATTAAAGCGCGATAGTTAAAGGAAGATGGTTTAATTAGTCTAAAGTTCGTGCAAAATGGAGACTGAATAGCGGACGAGGTTTGGAGTTGGATCTAATAATTGAACTTATTGGATGTTTCATGATGTTTATATATGTTTTCATGCGTAGACACTAATCATAAGTCAGATTTCATAAATCAAACAAGTTATGTTGGATAAACAAAACAAGCTAAAGTTGGTTCTTCTTCAAGAGATAGAAGAAAAAGTAGCTGATGATGATGTTTGAGAATATATTTAACTGTCTATCATTGAATTACAATGTCTAATAGATTGTTTAGTGTTTACTATTTTACCCACTGCTTTAGGTTCTTGGACTTGAATAAACTTAGCCACCTTTGCTGCTTTTGCAGTTTTTTATGTTATTATTTGTTTTTTTTTTTTTTTGCAAAAAACCAGTATTTAATTATTTTATTTTATTTTTCATGAACCATGTTTCCAGATTTTGCAATGTTAAGACATCAGCTCTTCCTCCACCACCAGATCCAAATGAACCCACAAATGTTGCTCAGGCAATTGCATCTTGGGGTCTAGATTATGTTGTGATCACAAGTGTTGACCGTGATGATCTGCCTGATCAAGGCAGCAGCCATTTTGCTGAAACAATTCAGAAGCTCAAGACACTGAAGCCAAACATTTTGATTGAAGCATTGGGTAGGTTTGTTCATAATCATTTTTCTTAAGCCTTTGATTTTATAACTATTGTCATAATGCATTGGATGAATCTGTGCTTCAATTTAGCCAGCCTTTTCTTTACCGTTTTTTGGGGTGAAATCATCTGTAAGTGGTGAGATTTAAAAAAAAAAAGGTTTCTGTGAATGAAATTGAAGTTTACAGTTTTTGCCATTTTTACCGAACTTGCTTTTGAAGTTTCTTGCTGTACTTTAAAGTGAAGCTCCCCAAAAAATGCCTTGATGATGTGGTTTCAACTTCGATGTGTTTTAAGGTTGTGATTGTCCCTTGCAAGAAAATATTTGAAATCGGTATAGCTTCTTAGGTATACCATCAACGATCATTTGCTTCTGGCACACAAAATGGAAGGAAGATTTCCATTCATACCACTCAATTCTTATGTATTTACATATCTAACTGCTAAACTACAATTTTTACATAAATATCACATTACTTATGAATGAAAAGGCGGTTATCACTTTTTAAAAGTGAAATTGGTGGTATTTTTTCTGTGATATGAAAGATTTGGGTAGTATACATGTAAAAAATAATGTTTAGGTGTTAGACATATAAATACATAGGATTTTGGTGGTATGTGTGTAAATGTCCCAAAATAGGAAGGATAATTATGCTCCAAGGACTGGATCCCCTTGGGAAGACAGCTGCTGTGCTAAAGTTAGTAAATGGGTTCAAATGAAAGAATGATTTAATAGAGCTTTCTCCAAGTGATTGTATATCTTTTAAATGGCTTTACGATAGTTGTGAAGTTTAGTGTTTCTGGTTTGGTTTTAGTGGTTTCAATTGAGTTTCGATTGCAATATTTTTAAGACTCATTAATATTTTTAATTTGATAAGTTTCATTTGCTTTGGTTGAAACTTAGGACTTTCAGCTGACTTTAAACAATGTTATGGCGAAACTCAAAGGTTCGTTTGGAACTCAAATCTTTTTATGAAACTGTAGTATAACTCTTAGGTAGACACCAAAATTTTATTATAATTTTACAACTAAGGTCCCATTAAATTTCATGTGTACATTGGCTTTGAAGTTTAGTGGTCTTGGTTTAGTGTTAGTTGTTTCAGTTGAGTTTCATTTGGAACATATTTAAAACTCATTGATATTTTTGATTTGGTAAGCACATTAGTTTTGGTATAAACTTAGAACTTTCAGTTGAGTTTCAACAAAGTTCTGGGTGAAGCTCGTATTTTTAATGAAACTTTAGTATAAATCTTAGGTAGTCACCAAAATTTTATTATAGTAAATGTCCCATTAAATCCATGTGTATCATATCATGAACTCTAATTAGATAATTCTCGTTATTGCATACCTTAAATATGCAATTTCTGTAATTTTTACTATAAAGAGATTGAAATTGTATCCCAAAACTAATGAATTTGAAAGTTTTGCGATCAAATCAAAATCAAAGCAAAAATCTAGCTTTAAATTTTTTTAGTTCACATTCCTTGTGGGTGTCATTTATAATTTTTAGAGAGAAAGGTAGTTTGATATTTTAGGCAAGATGTATAATGAATGAAGGAGACATATTTATTCTTCTAAATTTTTGTTGAATGGATTCGATTTAATTGAGAGCATTTTGATAGTTTGGTAAGAAATAAGGATCAAGATACATTGTCTTCAAGATTGAAGTTGGACTAAATATCCCTAGGATAATTGATTAATAGTTGAAGCCATTCGTGAGATCCATGCCATTTGGTATCAAAGTTAGGCTGTTGAATAACTTTAAGTTTGGTGTTTGTTCTATTTTTAATTTGATCATTGGATCTTAATTGAATTTTTATGATATGTGTTGACTATGTAGCTTTGATTGAAAGATCGGCTCATACTTGATGTGATCTGAATTCAAACAATTGCTTCATCTTTCTTTCGCTACATGGGGATCATGAAAGTATGATCCTTGATTCTACTATTTGAATGGTCAAGATTAACCAGTCGATTATGGTTTTATAGGGACATGTCAAATGTCTTTCCATTCTTGATTTTTTTTTTTTAAATAATCCAAAAAAGCTCCTTCATGGCATATCGTGCAGCATTTGAGGTATTATAATCTAGAATTAATCATTCCAAGTTGTAAGCTTTCCTACAATTTCATCATGTCCATCTTTTCAAGCTTGCAAATTGTGAGATCTGATTTATCTAGTGCTTGAGCAATGAATTGGAGATGATTTCTTGAAGTTCAGTTACTAACTTAGAAGGATGTTTGCCTTAATATGTGTTTTTCAAACATGCTTTACTTATTATGCATAAATCTAGGATGGCCAGTATTGAATCAAGGTAGATTGGTTTATGTGGATTGCATTAGGCTATGTGGGTACGCTTTGTACTAGATCATGGCCTATTCTAACCCACCATGACCTATTCCAACCCACATTTTTGAATCTATGAAATTTTCATATGGCCAACAAGTGCTTGTGCATTCCAATGATTCCTATCATGTTTAACTCATGGTCATGAAATTATGGAAGAGTCACGCATGTTGTACTCATCAGCTTTCTTATCGCATGCTTTATTAAAGGATGTATGATGTGTATATTTCTTTATATGTATGCCTAAACTATATATTCGCCGTTCACTCATTTGACATTTTTTTTATTTGTTTAGTTCAAATCACTTCATTTGAAAGGATATTTTGCATGTTTGTTCTAATATTTTACATAATGTACTTTTTTAATTTTGATTTTCCAATTTAGTTTACTGCTAATTTTCACATTTTTGTGAGGAAATCAATTTCTATGTTATTGACCAAATATGTGAGGCCTATAATAGGCTTTTATGGGATATAATAAGGAAACAAGTAAGAGAGATGTTGTCAGGAGCATTTAAATGTAGAATTATCTTCTTATATCAGGAGTCCTATCAAAGTTGCTTATATACTACCTAACATGCCAACACTCCCCCTTAATTTAGTATATATATATATTTATCAGCCTTAGCTTTTTATATTAAGGAGAAAAAAATAGGTGCCTTAATTTTGGTAAAGATATATGCCACCTGTTTTGAATTTGAAGCATAAGTAATAATTTCCTCTCATAATAATAATCTGCTTAGATATGTTTAGTTTGTTTAGCCCACTAATTATTGGCAATGTGGATGACAACAAGGTTGTCGTAATAATTGAGTAAAGGAAAACTTAACCATCCCAAAAGAGTTTTTAACGCACATCATTTTGCATGCAAACTTAATTGTAGCTTTGTATATGGGTTCACGTTAGATCTGACCACACTAGGTTATTTATTGCTTTTTTAGATGACCAGATTCCCTTCAAATAATATGTAATAATCTGAGATTTACTTTCTTTCATCGACGTGTCATTAGAAAATGCTTCAATATTCAGATTCTTAGATTTAGCTCATAAAACCTTTTTTCTTGGAGGTTTTTTCATATATCTAAAGTTCTGTAGAACAACTTTCCGATTTTCATTTTGGAAATAGCATGTGCAGTCACATGACTGTAATTCCAAATGAAATGTCAAGGTTGGTATTCGCCGGATAAATCAATTTATCAGCTAATTTTCACTGATGCGGTGGATCGTTGTGGGGTTCATCATCATAGAAAATGTTGAGACTTGATAGGAATATCAACAAACTTACAAGAAAGGAAACACATTCTTCAAAATGTTCAATATCAATTTTTTTGACAAGAGGTCTTCCTATTTTTACTATTAATAAATTCAATTCAAGAACATATTTGGGAAGTCCCCAATCTTTGGTGACAAGCACCTTTACAAATAATATTTTACCAATATTGTGATATCCTCTTCCAATGAGTGAGATGCCTTCAATTTAAACAACTAGTATAATGGATCTTGTTGACGTATGCTTGATTATTATGATAATTTATAGTGTTGTTGCAAAATCCAATCTAAGCTAATATTAAACTTAAGAGATTATTGAGGAATTATTTGTAGTGTAGTAACTCATCCTACTTATCCCATATGGTGCTATATTAGCTTTGAATGGATAAATCCTTCTACCGTGAAAATATGTTGAGTACACTGTTTAAATGCTAGATATGTTAATTTCCAGAAAGTAAATCAAGTGGAGAAAATCCCGGATAATCTTTGTAGTTTTGTGAAACGTGATTTTAGAGGTGATAAAACTCTATATTTTCAACTTTCAAGTTAGAATGACATTATCAAACGATTATTGTTCTAATTAGAAGATTCCACATAGCCTTAGCAATCTCATGATATCATGTAAGACAAACGCTACATAGAAGAGAAGAGGTCAGGTAATGACTTGTAAAAGTTTGAGTAGTAGAGGAGAAAGATAGAAGAGTAGTGAGCAACAAGAAAAGCTAACATGCAAATCTACAAAAGTGAAGGAGAGTAGCTAGCTTGAAGAGAAATCATAATGATTGGGGCATGTCGCAAATGTAGATGGGATGTGAATGAGGCTAGCCATGGTTGTGAACATTGGATCAAACCAGACATTTCAACTGGCCATCTCAAGAATTGCTCTTGAAACGGTTCAATCCAATTAAATGATTAGATTTGGAGGGAACCGGAATCAACCTATAAAAATCAACATTCAAACCACTGAAGCCTTAAGTTCAGAACGGGTTAAACGATTTGAATTGAAATTACAATAAGGAGATGGTGTTGGAATGTCAATTTCTTAAACTTAATTCATGCATATATGTTATATATCATGATACAAACATGGTGTGCACTTACATACATGCATATTGGCACTTCTCATCATTATTACAAATTTGACGTAATTAAATAATATTTATATTATCAAGGTTAAACTTTCAGTTGAACCTTTGAATATTAATTTCCACCGATTTAACATTTGATCTGATTCTATAGATATTGGCTCGGGCAATAAATGGCTAGTATCGACTAAAACTTGTGGTTGGTGTAAAAGGGACAAAGCATGCGAGCGCTCAGTGGGTACTTAAGCTTGGTTCAGGAGGCCTGAGCTAGTTTCATGGGTTTTGGGGGTTGCAAGCTAGTAGTAGGACAGATCGAGTGTGTGTTGTGGATGTGAGTCTATCAGGCAAGTTATGTGGAGTCGGGAGGGTGGCTTGCTTGTTATTAACTCCGATAATATTTTAAAAGGAAACCAATTCTTATTTTATTGATTGAATGTATAAGGCTTATAAATTAGCACAGTTGAAGATATAATAAGGAAACAAATTAGAGAAAACAATAGCTTTAATTATTGAGATATTTAATGTATAGTCACCTCTTATATTTGGAATCCTGCCAATTTTTCTAATACTATTGACCTAATACACCAACACTCTTCATTAATAATTGACTCCATTTGATGATTTCCATTAATTTATATAAAACTGTACCTGTAAGTCCACTTAGGTGCTACTCATATGACCCTAAAAGTTTATTTTAGGACTAAATCACTATTGATTTGTTGTAAGGGAGAAACATATTGTGGGCGTACTATATTTAGTGCCTTTATTCAATTTGTTCCATAATTCTCATTTTATAGCTAAAGGTGTGGATTAAATGTAGTGGCATTTGATTTGGTACTCAAGGTCAATATTAAACATCAAATATTTTTATTTGTGCATTCTATTTGTCTTTTCTAGATTTATTTATTTTTTAATCAATTTGAACTATGATTGTATCCTTATTGTTTCCTCAGAGCTGTTGTTGAACGTGAAATTCTACAATTGATCAGGCCATATATAATACCTAAAAATAACAATAGATAAATTAAAATTTAATTCCTAAATTATACTTTATTTTTCATATCTTCCTAAAATGTCCAAAACTATTTTTTAGAAAATTTTAATCTTTTGTTAGATTTTTCTAATATATAGAAGTGCATATAAATTATTAATATATTTGATTTTATAAAAATAGTTAATAAAATCAATTAGTTACATTTGAATTTTATTGTTCCCTAATATAATCACTATTTACAAGGAAATTGAGCACTGTAGTGAATCCATCTTGGTGCTCACACATGCACGCATGCACATACATATGTACATAAATACTTAGATTAAATTTGATTTAATTTGAATTTTTAGAATTTGTTCCAAAAATTATTTGTAATTGAAATAAATTCCAAAATTATTGAAAATTTAAAGGAAGGTTTGGAAAATCGTCCTAACATTCCTGTAAAAACTTGGGATCATTTGGAGCTTAATTAAGTTTTATATGATTTTTTTAATCTATTTGAACTTTAAAAGTTCAAAAAAATTTTTAATAGTTAAAGTATTTTAATTTTAACTTTATTGGATTCTCACTGTTTGTAAGACTAAGTGATTTAAATTTGATAACTTTTCTTTTTTTTTTACGATGATTTTTAAAGTTTAAGTTTAACTATTGAGTTATTTAATTAAGAAATTGATTCATTTTTAAGTTTTTTGATGAAAATATTTCAATAATGATAATATTTGATGACTCTGACTACCAATGATCCTAAGAAAGTTCTTAAGATCTTTTTGAGATATTTTAATGTATTTTTAAAATTTTAAATTATTTTATTATTATTTATTAATATTTAATTAACTTCTTAAATTTTAAACTTCTTTTAATTTGATTCACTCTATGCTTAAGAAATTAGCCCAAGGTTAGGAATGAGTTTGCAATAGTTTTAAGCCTTTGCCAAAACCCAATTTGGATTGAAGTTTTGAATAGGCCAATTTACTTGGGCCCACTAGTTCAATCTAGATTTTAAAATTGTTGATTTAGGTTTAAATTGAATTTAAATTGACTTTAGATTCATTTGAGCTCATTTGGATTAAATTTAAGTGGCCTTAGATAAGTGTTACTAGACATCCTGTTAATAGGTCATGTATAAATAAATTACACTTATTGGCTTAATTATGTTTAATTTAATTTAAATTTTGATTTGCCAAGCCAAGTGACTTTTTTGGAGTTACATGGCTAGATTGATTTATTTAACTCGATGGTTTTGATTTGTTGTTTCAAAAGATTTTAGAGTAGTCTATTAGGTCAAGTTAAGGTAGGCTAACCTCCAGCTCAATCATGTATGGTTCAAGTGACTTATTAGTTTATTAAGTTCATTATGAACTAAATGTTTGAGTAATAGGATTTGATTTTTTTTACCATGTCTTGCTCTTTTTCACTATATTGACTTGCTCGAACACAATTGACAAAGCCTCACTAGGCTCAAGGAGTGCCTTGGGAGAGTCCTAAAGTCACTAGAAAAGGATTCCTAGGTTATTAGGATTAATTATGAGTTGACTCCGTCTAGGGTCTTCAAGGACTGAATCTAGTCGATTTGATTAAATTCGGGTTTCCTAAGCTCTAGAGTGAAGTTACTATTGGGCTCCCAACTACATATGATTATTTAGGGTTCAATTAGAGCTCACTTGTGGCCTAAGGGGATGAATTGTGTTAGCCATTCATTAAGGCCACGGAAGCCAAAAAGTGTAAGCTAGATAGGGATCCTTACCCCAAAAAAAAAAAAAAAGGTTTTACGTTTGATTGGATTTGCTTTTATAAAAAATAATTCAACAAGGGAGCGCCATAGGATCTATTTTGTCGGTCAAGTATCTTCCAACTTTTGTTTTGGGTTTTGGAATGGATTGTAGGTTACAACACATGTATTCTCATCTTATGTTGGGTCCATCTTAGGACACTTGAATAACATGGCTATAATTCATAATCTAAGTCCTCCTATATATAATAAGTTACTATCGTACATTATAAATTGGACACGCTTTAAATGGATCTGTTATAAGGTATGATGAGATGAACCTTTTCTTGTAATCTAATTAGCTTAAGGATCTCTTTTTTTGATAATTTGAATTTTTTTTTGCTATGTTTGCTTTTTCATTTTTATAAATAAGCGGCCAAATATTATGCAAATGACTTTGACTATTCAATACAAAAGTTTACTCTAAGTGAAGACCTTTCTTTCACAATTATGCGTGTGCAATTGGTTTATTTGGATGGATCAGTTCACAGATTGGTCAAACCAAGTGAAATTGAAAAAAAAAAATCCAAAAAAATGAACTCTGACAATTTTTTTGTTAAAATCGATCCAAACGAATCGAAAGGTAATTCAGTTTAAAATCCAACCAAATTAATCAAATGTGATCAGTTTAGTTTTTAGTTTTTAGTTTTTAACCAAATATTGCATATTTATATCCACAAATCTTTCAAGCTGTTGTCGCTAAGGTCTTGTTTGAGGGGGAGTTTCAACTCCATTGTGGTGCAATGGTCGCAGAGAAAACGGAGAAGAATCGTTTGGATGATAAACTTTGTCGAACTTCACTTCCACTGCAACGAAGGTTTCGGTGAAATCACGAACGCGATGAGATCATCGCTTTCGACCATACGTTAAACATTAGGTACTAATTTCTCATTTGATTCGCTCGTGGGTTCGCTGCTTCTCCCCTATTTTCGTTGGTGACATGGTTATATTCAAACACTTCTATTCTTTTATGGGAACAAACTTTACAATACCACTTCTTCGAATGTTACTTTTAAACAGAATTTTTTCGAAGGCAAGCGTCGTCAAACAAGGTCTAAAGTGAATAGTTTTGTTTTTCCTCTACTCTTTTCTTTCAATTCTGTTCAGTAATTGGTTGAAATTTTGGTTTGATTCAATCAATTCTAGTACATATATGGATTTCAAACGTGCATGCATGAAATCTCAACATAGTTTTGGCCTTGTATGATTAGTTCTGATGATTAATTACTCTTAGGAGATCATTAGCGCTTCTCTCCCACTGGTTTCTTACTCTTATCTATGATCAGCCTTTAGTAGTGAGTAATTGCTCGCATCCTCCTTAAAAATGAGGAGACATAAATATCACGTCTCTTATATATTTACATATTTAACACCTAACGTTCCTATTCTATAACACTCAAATATTTTACATCGCATAAAAAATACCAATCTTACTGAATTTGTAAAAGTAAAATACACATTTTCATGCATATGTTTATGACATGATAGTGTTACAATTGTAAATATTGAACTTTAGGTTTTAGATATGTAAATACATAAGAATAGTGTGGTATGCATGTAAAAGTCTCAAAAAAAAAAAAAAAAAAAAAAAAACAAAACAAAAAAAAGCGCCACACTACATAGCATCAGTTATCCATCATCTCATATCATTTCAAAGCATTGGATTGTATTTGGAAATCCTAGAACTTAATTCTTCCTTCATCAACATCATTGCTTTGACGTAGAAGCATTTGTGTTATGATCATTTATGTATCACCCGCTTTATCTGATTTTTTTAAAGGAAGATTCACTCAATTCCTATCTATTTACATATCATACATATCGCTTTACTCATGCATGAAAATTTGTATTTCACTTTTAAATGTTATAATAATGGTATTTTTTTTGTTTTTGTGATATGAATGATTTGGATGGTATAAATGTAAAAAATAAAGTTTGAGTGTTACACGTGGTAATACATAGGAACTTGATGTATGTATGTAAATAACCCTTTTTTAATAAAAATTCTTAATCTTTTTTCACCTATTCTTCAACATGCAGTTCCTGATTTCCGTGGGGAATCACCCTTAGTCGAAAAGATTGCGAAATCTGGATTGGATGTATTTGCTCACAACATCGAGACGGTGGAAGAGCTTCAGAGATGGGTTAGAGATCATCGAGCCAATTTCAAACAATCTCTCGATGTTCTCAAACTGGCGAAAGAGTATGCTCCAGCCGGTACTCTCACCAAGACATCAATAATGCTTGGATGTGGCGAAACTCCTGATCAGGTGGTCAACACAATGGAGAAAGTAAGGGCTGCAGGAGTTGATGTCATGACCTTCGGCCAGTATATGAGACCAACAAAACGCCACATGCCTGTTTCTGAATATATCACACCTGAAGCTTTTGAGAAGTACAGGGTAATTGGCATGGACATGGTATGTACGTACGGCTTTAGTTTAGTTCATTGTGGAAAAAAAGAAAGATTTACATACATACCACTCAACTCTTATGTATTTACATATCAATCACCTAAAGTGATATGCCACATTACATTTGCAAGAAAGGGTGTATATCACTTTTTAAAATGTCAAATGGTGGTGTTTTTGAAGTGATATGAAAGACCTGGGTGATATAAATGTAAAAAAGCAAAGTTAGTGTGAAATACGCAAATAAGGAGGAATTGGGTGGTATTTATGTAAATGCGCCATAAAAATTTTGTTGGGGCTCCAGTTTTAAATTCTTGGATTTGTTTTGAGATGAGTGTAATAGAAGAATTGATTGATTAGATGAGTGTAATAGAAGAATTGATTGATTGTTCATGTGTCGTGCTCATCTTAAAACAGAATCAAGGGCGTTGAACCCCTACCTTGAGTCTTGAACTAATATTCTTTTGGTCATAATGGATTTTAAAATTATTGGACTTATTTTTGCAGGTGCAATACAAATTACTTACGTGTTGCATTCGTCTCAAACTAAATCCAACAATTTTTTGGGGAATTTACATGAATACCATGCTAATGTATTTATATGTATAACACCTAAAGTTTAATATTCACACACACACCCACACAGACACACAGACAGATACATACAGATACATACATACACACACACACACACACATATATATATATATATATATATATATATTAATTGCCCCCCCAGACGAGAGGGCACTTACACCGCTAAAGCGGATCCTCTACCAATTGATCCGGGAACGTGGCATATATATAGTGATGTTAAGGATTTGAGCACTATTTAAATAAATATTAGGGGTTTACATACATACCATTCGATTCCTATGAATTTACTCATCTACCACTTAACTTTTGCCTTTTACATTTATACCATCCAAGTTTTTTATATCACATTAAAATTTTCACCATTTAAACTTTTAAAAAGGGAAATCCATCTTTTCAGGCATAGGTAGCCGCAAGGCGGTACATATGTAAAAATTGAAGTTTAGTCGTTAGATATGTAAATACATAGGAGAACTGATTGGTATGTATGCAAATCTTCCTAAATATTAAAATTTATGTCACATATATTTGTTGTCTTTTGTTAGATATTAGATGCTTCTTGCTTCTCTATTCTCATCCTGAATCATTGCAGGGATTCCGATATGTTGCGTCTGGACCTATGGTTCGATCATCATATAAAGCTGGAGAATATTATATTAAATCAATGATCGAAGCTGACCGAGCTAAAGTTGCTTCTGCAGCGTATGTTTGATGTTTCTAAACTTAAAATTTTATTTTTCTTCTATTTTTTTGGTATTGATTTAAGAAATTATACCTTTTCTTTAGCTGATTGATACATCTTTTTTTTTTGGGCAATTTACATATATAGCACACAATTGTCATGTATTGACATATCTCACATCTAAACCTTCATGTTTACTACACCCAAAGCACTCAAATCTTTAATATCACATAAAAAAAGTATTGTTCTAACTGTGAAACACACATTTTTCATGCATAGGTTTAAAGCACCTATGTAAATATGAAAATTTTGGTGTGAGATATGCAAATACAAAATAATTGTGTGCTAAATATGTACTTCTCCCTTTTCTTTCAATTGGGTTGATGTCTTTTATTGTCCCAGTGCCCATTTTAAGGTCTGTATGTTATGTATTTTTTCTGGTTTTTTGCTCCTAAATAATATTGCTACTCTTTGTATAGTCTACAAGGCTACAACAAAAAGGTTAACTACTTGGTTACAATGCAAATTATGCAATTTATATGTCCAAAATTTGGGTTGCTCTTTTTGCTGACATTTATATATTTTCTTTGTGCAATTATGATACTTGTCTGAAGGGGAAAAAAATCTGCTGATGTCCTGTTTTATATCCTAAATGATACTTGTCTGAAGCGGATTTTTTGTCTATCAAGCGACCCAGTACTCCTGGAGATGGAGTTGTAGCGATCATTTTTTATTTAGAACCTGAGAACACGACACTTTAGTATTCATGGGTGGAGCGCCATGATGTCTAGCACATATTAAAAACATGATAGTGTGATATTGCAGTGCCTCTAATGCAACATTCTATTGCCCGTTGGGGTGTCACATCACCTTGGCCCTGGTAATTGATTTTGAGTCATTCGATTAAAGTTTTGATTTTGTCGATTGGAGGGTATATGATTTTGATTCCTTTTGTCTAAAGGAGAGTAGGCAATATCCCGAAGTGTTCCAGAGTTTGTAGAGGCTTGAGTTTGGTGTAATTTTTACAATTCTCATCATTTTCTTCATAATTGAGTTATTGGTGTGATGTGGTTCTTTGGCTTTTTTCTCATGCATGTTTTTTGTCACATTAAATTTTTTGTTCTTTGTGGTTTTTGTGGTTTTCTTATTTGTGTGCTTTTGTTCAAAGTCTTGGTTTGGATCTCTCGAATTAATTATCAAAACTTTTTTTTTTTTGCATTTCTTCCAACAAGTGGTATCAAAGCGTGGTTTCTAAAGTTATTTGGTTCGAGTGGGAGCAATGACCAATGAACCAAGGTACAAGGTTGAGAATTTTAATGGTTCGAACTTTGGTTTTTAGAAAATACAAATTGACGATTTATTATATAGAAAAAAAAATTATTTGTCTATGGAAGCAATCACCAAGAATTTGGAATTGATGACTCTGAAAAAGTGATTAGTTCTTCATCGAGCAGCCTTATATTTGATCTAACTTTCATTTTTCTCATTTGTTGCTATAAACATTGTGAATCAGAAGTCGAATGTTGATATTATTAATTCATTAATAGGAATGCATGAGAAGCATTCGACTTCAAATAAAGTTTTGTTAATGAAGAGATTATTTAATATGAAGATGGTGAATTGTAGCTCAAAACACTTGAATAATTTTAACACTGTGACAAACTAGTTATGTTTTATTGGCATCAAATTTGATGATGTGGTTAGGGTACTGTTACTCTTATCTTCTTTATCATATAGTTGAGATGGATTAATTACTGCGGTGAGTAACTTCTTAGGAAACATAAAATTGAATTTTGATGATCATATGGGCTTAGTGTTAAATGAAGAAGTTTGTGATAAGGTGGGTAGAGAAATTTCAAATTTTATTTTGAATATTGATACTAGAGGAATAAATTTAGATGTAAACACATGCATAAAAAGATCTAATGAAGAGGAAAATCCATATTAGGGAAAGAAAAAAATATAGACGAATGTTGGAATTACGAGAAGAAATGTCACTTTAAGAAATAATACAAAAATTCGAAGAAGATTGGCGGTGGAAGTATAGATATAAAATGTTTTACGTTTGTCTCCACAAATTAAATCCAAGATGATACCTTTTTTTATATAGCTAAATAGTATCGAATTATAGATTGTAGATTCAAACATCTCTTTTCATGCTAGCTCCAACAAAAAGGGTGGTTTAAAACTATACTCAATGTGACCTAAGGAAGGTATTTGGGAGATAATAGGGCTCGCAATATTATTGGAAATTATGGTTGATATCAGGTTGTTAAATGGATCGTTTGAAAATTTAATGATGTTAGATATGTTCCATGTTTGAAGAGAAATTTGATTTATGGGAGCCAACTTGCAATGTCAAGTGTGTGACTATTTTCACAGGCAATGAGTGGAAGGTGACTAAAGGTGTAATGTTGATGGCTTGAGACAACATTAAAGACACCCTTTACCTAATCAATGAGATATCTATTCATTTGAATTGTTGGAACAAAGGTTGATGTATGTCTTTAGCACCACAAATTTGGTCATATGAATGAAAAATGTATTAATTCCCTCCTTTCTAAAAACAAACTTCATGGTATAAAAACTATAGATTTAGATTTTTGTGAATATTATGTTTATGGCAAGTAAAAATGGTTATTTTTTATAAAAGTGTATTGAAGTAGAAGTTTGAAAAATTGGATCTAGTTCATACTAATGTTTGATGTCCTATTCCAGTTCAGTTTATTAAAGGTTCTCTATCTTATCACTTTAAATAATGATCACTCCAAAAAGATATGGGTGTATTTATTAAAGCATAAATTTGATGTGTTTGATGTATTTAAGATGTGGAAAGTTATGGTTGAGAATGAGACAGATTTAACGTTGAAGTATCTCAAATCATATAATAGTAGTGAATATTGTGATCAAAGGTCATGACTTTTTGTGCTTCAGAAGGAATTAGATATGAGTTTCTAATCTAAGGACCACAACAAAATGGTGTTGATGTGCGCATGAATAGAACTATCACAGAGCGTGGTAAGAGTATGAGATTGCATGCATGTTTGCCAAAACTATTTGTGTAGCATAAGTGAAATTGCAATTTATCTGATAAATTGTTGTCCTTCAATACTTTTGAATGAGGCTTATCTGAACAGTCTTGAAGTGGCAAAGAGATTAATTTATCTTAATTGAAATTATTTGTTTGTTCATCGTATATTTATATTGATGCGGGATTTAAAAGTAAGCTTGATGCAAAATTATCAAGTGCACTTTCATTGGATATAACTCAGATGAATGTGGTTATAAAGTTTGGGACAATCAAAATTAAAAATTTATTATGAGTAGGGATGTAAAATTTCAATGATGTAGAGATGTACAATGACATAAATAGAACTCAGGCTTATCCACAGATTACTTCTAAATACTCCCTCGGATATGTGAAGATAGAAGATACTAGTAATTAGGAAGATTTAAAAAGAAAATGTGCTCAATATGATGATTGATGAAGCACAAGCAGTTCCTCAGACACTATTGTTATGTATAGAGATGTCTAGGAGTTTGATGAAGGAAATGAGCAGACGATTTGAGGTTAATGACATCATTATGATGAATATTAAAGAATGACAAATGAATCACTACTAAATTTTAAATTATCAATATTTAAACATGCTGATGGACATTGATACACATGTAGGCCTTTTAATTGAGTTTTTATATTAGATAGTTATTTTGTCTATTTTGTCAAAATTTTTAAAGAATTTATTTGCTCATTTAAATTTTAACTTGGTGTATTAAACTTATACTTATAAATTTGAAGATAAACATGTTACTACTTTATGAGAATGGTTTGAGTAGTACAATTTTTTAAGAGCATATGTTATAGAGTTCATGACATGCCAAATATTCATAGATTTAATTCCTTTATAGTGACATAAATATAATCAAATTTATGATGAGGTTGGCTTCATTAATATTAAATCTAGAACAATCACCTCAAATAAAGAAAGTGCAATCCAATTACGTTTTGCTAACTAAGAAAAAAGATGAAAATTTATGTTTTTTTCTTATATTATGATTGTATTGAATTATATCAAAATTTATCACTTGTGTTATAACTTTTTGACTATATTCATTTATATTAATTTTTTTTTATCATCATATCAAAATTTTTAATTGTTGTATCATACCTATTATGATTGTGTTCATTTTATAACAATTTTATTTTAATGAATTATTGATATCCTTTTGTGTTGTAGCCTTTATAATACGATTATCAAATACATTTTTTAGTAGAATCCACAGTCAAAATATGATTAAGCAAAATTTGAATGATGATCAAATACTATAGGAACAAAGGTAGCTTTTTTTTTGAGCCAATATCAAACTTATTTGATCCACATGTCATTTATGATTGACTAATAATTACAATCCATGCTGAACCATCTTTAAATTGTGATCATAATGATTTTTGAAATCTAGACTTTGAATGATCACTTGAATAAAGTTTGGTCTTATCAAAATTTTATTCGATTATATTATACTATTTTTTCAAATTAATATTGGCTGCAACTAAGGGTGTGTTTGGGGCAGCTTGTGCGTTTCAGGATAATGACTGCGTGGGTCAACCCGCGACCTGCGTTTAGCGTGAAAATGAAACAACATTTTCAGATAAATGGGCAAAACACATGATCCAAAAGATACCGCGGCATTTTCAGAAACGCTCCCGCAATTAAATGAGGGGTGTTTTGCAATCAAGTAAATTTATGCACATGTTTACACTTAAAAATGAAACATCAACATAAATAGTTGAATAAGTCATTTAAACACACATGTTTAGGTGCATTTAAATACATATCACATAATTCTTATGTATTTATATTTGTAATATTGAAAGTTTAATTTTTTATATTCATAATACTCAAATTTTAATATAACATAAAAATATCAATTTGCTAAATTTCAGAAGTCAATTGTATATCTAATTGTTTAGCCCAATGGAGGCAGATTAAGCATTAATTTTAAATGAGGCAAAAACGTTAATAATTTTTGCGATTTATAAAATGCAAAAAATATTTAATTAATATTTATTTTTATAATTTTAAACTAATAAACAATATGAATTTTTCGTTTAACTGTTATATAATAAAAAGAATTAATTCATATTGATTTTTTAACTTTTAAACTAATTAATAATATTAATTTTTGATGTAAAATTTCTAATAATATTAAATTAATTGCTTTTAGATATTATAATAAAAGTTAAAGTTAAAAATATTTTATAATGAAATTTATAATATTAGGTTATTTAAAATTTATATTATTATTTAGTTTAAAATAATAAAATTGTGCTAATTGAATGAAAAACAATATTAAATTATTTAAAAATTATTGAAAGTGACCTTCTACATCCCATAAGATTCGACTTTTAATCTGAATTGGACTGCTACTGAGAGTGGACACATGGGTCTTAAATTTCATTAGGGACTTACTTAGAATGGATCACCACTTCAAATGCAAGAAAGTTCTCTAAATTTGTCGTCAATTGGTGAAGAGGTAGAAGATGAGTATAAAGAGGAACATGAACTACGAGATTGATCAAAATATTTTACAGGATTAAGCATTATTCAACCCTATCATAGAAGATAGATATTTTTTTTTTCATTTTTATCGTTCTGACAATTATTTTAATGAAGTATGAATGTATTTCGATGAATGTATTATTCGAACCAGCTTATTTTGAATGTTGAAGCTTAGTAAATTATTTAATTCTTATTTCAATTATTTTAATTTCAATAATATTTAAATAACTTAATATTATATTTCTTTCAACTAACTCAATTCTATTATTTTAAATTAAAAAATAATATAAATTTTAAATAACAGTATTATAAATTTTAGAATAAAATTTTTTTGACTTTCAAATTTATTATAATATCTAAAAATAATCAATTTATCATTATTAGAATTTCATGCTATAAATTAATATTATTAATAAAAAATAATTAATCATTATTAGATTTTTTATGTTAAAAATTAATATTATTAATTAGTTTAAAAGTTAAAAATTAATATTAATTAATATTTTTTATTATATAACGCTTAAAAAAAAATTCATATTATTTATTAGCCTAAAATTTTAAAAATAAATATTAATTAAAAATTTTTTAAGTTAATTGCAAAAAAATTTCCTTTTTTAAAAATTATTATGTATTCACATTGCACTTAGTTATATAAATCATAAATATAATTATCAAATTAACCTTTTTTGTGTTCACATATAAATCATAATTTTTTTGTGATATGTATGTACATTGCACTTATAATTAAATAATCACATAAATAAAAAGCAACTCTTTTAGATAATTTACTCGGAAAAGTAGTCTGCAAAGTCCTTTATTTTGGTATTCGCGCACTCTGAAAGCCCAAAGTCCGTCCCGCCAGTTCTCCCTCCCTCTCTCTCTCTCTCTCTCTCTCTCTCTCTCTCACCACAGTGGAACAGAGAAACCCTAGGAGCTGAGAAGAGTAGCTCGCAGCCTCTCGATCCGTGCTGCATCCGTTCTGTTTGATGTGTTTGAAAACCCTTGGTATCCTTTTGACGACGGCACCAGCGAGAATCTCCGTTCAGGTTTCGTTACTTTGACTCATTCTTATGCAAAATCAGAGCAATAAACAATCGACAATATGCGTAGAGACATCAAGTTTGGGGAAACAGAAAGAATGTATGATCAATCGACCCGGAATTTCACCATTAATGGCTAGTAAAGTTTACCACTATGCATCCGCTATAAAAATTTGTTTTTTTTCCTTTGTTTCTTGTACTTTCCAAAAGGTCACTTTGTTTGATAACCTTCCTTCCAATTAAAACATATAAATAGAAGTCCTTACAAAATGATTACGACAGTAAATGTGAAGTAAAATGCTTCAATTTCTCTCTATCTCTCACACTGACACACACACGTTCTCTCTCTCACACACACACACTCTCTCTCTTTATATATATTTTATCGATTTGCTCCTTGGTCTTAACCATCCCAAAATGCATTTTTTTGGTTTTTCCATAACATATTATTATGGTTTTTCGATGCGTAAACAATCAATTAGAATATTAGTCTATTAATCTACCAAATGCTTCATCGCAGGAATCCTTTTTTTTGTTGTTGGTTGATTTCGTTTTGAAACGGAAAATGCTTCCCTGAAACTTGATTCATTTTGGATGTTTTGCTATCAATTTGTTGCATAATGCTAAAGTCTCAGTAGTCCTTGATTTTTGAAACATCGTTTGTTTATTATATAGGCATACCATAGCAGAAACTGGAAAGCTGTCACCCATATTTGCTTAGCTGCATGGATAGTGTAGACCCTCACAATGAAGCTCCTTGCAATCTTACATTAAGAGATATCACCAACACTGAGCAAGCTCCGTCTGTTATTAATGATGCGAGTGATAGAAAACGCAAAAGGCCTCTCTACCAAAGTCAGAACATTTATGATAAGGACAATGCTGAAATTTTTCATCCGCCAAAAGCTTACGAAGCTTGCAGGAATGTTAAGGGAAAAGCTCCTTTTTCAAATGCGGAAAAATATGTTTCAAAGTCTATTAAAGGAAATGTTGAATCACAGAGAGAAAGGCCACCACTTGAGAAGTTATGCTTAAGAGGTGCTTCTTCTGCTCAAATAACCAGATTGAATAGTGAAGCAGATGATTCATCTATAGGTCCTGTGGCAAGCTCTAGCAATGAAGATGAAGATCTATCAACAGAGTCTGACGAGCCAAAACAAACATTTGGATTGGATGAACAGTTATTGAGAAATCCTGTTTATCCAATCAAGGATCATGAAATGCCTGCATTTTCAGATCGTACAAGCTTGGATTCGTCATTTTTGAGCCAACAAAAAGCTGATTTTAGGGAGACATTGGCTTATGAAAGGTTACAAAATATAAGCCTGTGTGGTAGTTGCCCATGTTTTTCATGTATCAATGGTAGGCCACAAGTGGCATGGTTTATTTTTCTTTTTATGCGCTACTTGTGTATCTATTGCTCAAATAATTATTTTCCTGCTCATTATTAAGAAACTTTGCCTTTCTTAATTTGACATGCACGGGTGTATATTGCAATTTATGGTGTTGTTTTACTTTGTACCTGTTTTTAACTTATTTTTTTAATGGTCAGCTGCTTATATGTGGTCAGATCTTGTCTACCAGGATACAAGAGGGCGATTGAGTGGTAACTCTTTGTAATTTTTCTTTGAACAGAAAGCTTACTTCTCATAAATTAGTATTATTGTTACTCTATTGGGATAGATTTCTTTTCTTGTTTAGATTGTTACTGTGTCCTCCCTCTGTCTAAATGTGTAATTATTTTTCTTAGCACTTAAATCTAGCAGAAGGCATGCTAGAATACTAGAAGGGAAAATTCTTAGACATGAGAAAGCTGGTGAAACCTCTCAATCTCAACTTAAGAGAGCAAAATCCACAGAATCTGATCTATTGCAACACTGGACATCACTCGTCCGCCATACTGCAGATAGTCTTCAACGTGAAATTGTGCAAGCTGTGAGTTAAACCATTTGACTATTGTATCTTTATTATCTTCTGTTGTATTGTTGCAAAGCTGTTATGCATTGTTATAATTAATATAATTTTTTGGCGCACTTTGGAAAAAACATTATTCTGAATTCGTTCGCTCATAAAAAGAGCAACAGTCACAACACATGAACTGGAATTAAACCAAATTTACTCTGCTTTCATTCAGATTTTAGGAATCGATTGTGAAGGAAAAAAATGTGGGAGGGAATATTTGCTTAATTCTTATTACCAATTTTCAATCATAAAGCTATATATAGGGAAACTGGTTTCTCCTAATTTACAATCATGCCATCTGAAATATGGAAACGAAATAATTCTAAAATAAACTTAAATAAGAAGAGAATAAAAACTAATCAAGGAGTGTCCCAAATTCTCTCCAATTAATCCATATATCACTTCTTGGGTGGTCTGCTTGGGCCTATCATGAAATGGATACTCATAGATTTTCACACTCCCCTCAAGCTGGGTCGTAGATTTTGTAGAGATCAAGCTCTGTATTAAACTTTAAAAAGTTGTTCAAAGGAAGATCTTTGGTGAAGACATCAACAATTTGTTGGTGTGTTAGGATATATTATAGTCGTATAATTCTGCCATTAACTTTTTAGAGATAAAATGTCTATCAATTTTAATATGTTTTATTCTGTCATGATGCACAGTGTTCTTGGCAATATTTATAATTGCTTGACTCTCACAAAACATTTTTATAGGCCTATTAGAGGTACACCCCGACTCCCTCAACAATTTTTGAATCTAAATCCTTTCATAGATTCCTATGGCAAGTGCCCTATGCTTTGCTTCTTTCTAGAGACAACATTCTGTTTCTTACTTTTCCATGTGACCAGATTTTTTCATACATAAAAGCAATAACATGCGATGGATCTTCTGTCAGTGAGTTACCCAACCCAACTTGCATTAGTGTAGACTTCTACGTGTCTGTTTTTGATTTTCTAAAAAATTAATCCATAACTAGAAGTTTTCTTCAAAAACCTTGAGATCCTGCACACCATTTCCAAATGCTCTTTATTTGGGTTATTCATATGTTGGCTCATAATAGTGACAAAATATGCAATATCTAACATAATATGTGACATGTAGATGAGTTTTCCTACCAATGTTTGATATCTTCCCTTATCCACATATATATATTTTTTTCTTCTATTAGAATCTTTGTTGGGATCCATTGAAGTATCAACAAATTTGCATCCAATCATCATTGTCTCATTTAGTAAATCTAGGATATATTTCTTTTGTGAAATAACAATGTCCTTCTTGGACCTTGCTACATCCATAACTAGGAAATATCTTATGGTTCCTAGGTCATTTTTTTCAAACTCAATGACAAACACTTTAATTTTAAGAATTTTTTTTTCATCATCACCATTAAGAATCTTGTCATCCACATATATTATCAGTGCAATAATTTTACCTCATTGAGTGTGTTTTACAAATAATTTATAATTAGCTTGATTTTGAGAATTTTCATTAGCTCTCATAGTTTTAGCAAACTTTTCAAATCATGTCATTGATGATTGTTTAAGACCATAGAGAGACTTCCTCGGTTTGCATACTAAGTGTTTGTTGGAATCATTCTCAAGTTCTATTAGTATCTTTACATACACTTCTTCAAGACCTTCATTCAAAAATATATTTTTTTATGTCAAGTTGGTTCAATCCTCACTCTTTGTTAATTGCTACTGAGAGGAGAAGTCTGATACACAGTTTGGCAATTGGTGCAAAGGTCTCCTGATAATCAATCCCACAGGCTTGAGTGAAATATTTTACAACCAGTCTAGCTTTGAATCTGTCAATACTACCATCAGCTCTGTATTTAATGTTGAATACCCATTTGCTTCTAACATTTTATTCTGGAAAGTTTAGTAAGAATCCACATATCATTATGCTTTAATGCTTGAATCTCCTCTTCAATTGCTTTTCTCCATTTTGGATTTTTCAGCGCTTCATGAATGTAATTCCAAATCTACACACTATCAAAATCGGATACAAAATAAATTTATAGGGTGAGGATAGCTTTTCATATGCTACATGCTTCTGAATTGCATATTTAGTGCAATTTTTCTCGTCATCAACTCTAGTAGAGGAATGAGATAACTCATGCGTTTTGGACTACTCACTCAAAATTTTCGATGAATGTGAAGTTGGTTTTTACCTTAAGCAGTTTCATCTTGGCAAGTTGTCTTTCATATGCTCAAGTTTTTTCTTCCTTCTTGTGTACACAAGAAGATTTTTACTATGAACTTCAAATTGGGTTGGTTGGACATCTTTAAGTAGGATATTTTCATGCAGCCGTGTTTGTGAGATAGAAGTGCTAGATGGAAGAGGGGTAGGTTGTGAGGTAGTGGAAATGTCATTATGTGCATCACAAAATTGATGTTCATTTGCACTCTCCCTCTGAACATTAGATTTGGGATAGTAGGATTGATTTTAAAAAAAATGCGACATCAATAAAGTTGTATTAATTTTGATAACAAGTGATATCACTCATAACTTTTTTATTGATGGATTTATGGTCAAGTTTTGTCCAATTTGGGGAATGTATGAGAACAAAATATATACACTAAAAAAATTTAGTGGTGCAGTGGAAGAGCAAGCTCTGATGTGGGGATATGCATCCATCAAGACATGAAGTGATGTTTTGAAATTAAGTACCTGACTAGCCATTCAATTGATTAAGTCCAATAAAAATTGCTTCTCCCCAAAAAGATATTTTGAAAGTTGATATTAAATCATAATTGAGCTGGAAACATCAAGAAAATGCATGTTTTTTCTCTTGGCTATTCATTTTGTTGTGGGGTATAAATACATGAACTCACGTGGATGATTATATTTTTTTTGTAAGGTAGGATCAAAGGATAGAGTTAAAATATTATTTTTGCGTTATCAGATTTGAGGATTTGAAGTTTGCATTTAAATTGAGCTTGATTCATGCCATGGAATGTTTGGAAGATTTGGGTAGCTGCATATTTCTTCTTCTCTAGGAATACTTAAATGGCTCTAATGTGATTGTCGATAAATGAGATAAACTATCTAACCCCTCTTATAGTTCTTACTTTTGAAGGTCTCCAAAAGTATTATTATGGAGAATAGGAAAAGAATGTGAAAGTTTGTACCGAGTCATGGAATAAATATTTTTAGTGCGTTTGGCAAGTTGACAAATCTTACATTGATAAGTACTAGATTTTTTATTGATAAATAAATGAGATTACAATTTTGTTGCATAATTTAGATTAGGATGACTTAGGTGACAATGCCATAACATGAGTTATTTTTCAACATACTCAATAAATTCAGAGATTTGAGGAAACGATGGAGGTGAAGCCACTTGTGTGTTTAGAGAGATCTTGAGCAGATATATGCATTTCAATATTACCAATCATCTTCATGAATTTACCCCTTCAATTTGAAAGAAAATTAATTATACATTTCACATCATAAGCAGGCTTACCGACTGAAATTAAATTATAGTTCAACTGTTAAGCATGTAAAATAGAGGAAAGAGAAATCTCTTGAGAGAGCTCCACGTCTCCTTTTCCAACAATTTTGAGTGTGATTCATTAAGTCTGATAGATTTAGATGTAAATTCTTTTGATATTTGACTAGAGCATTGATGTCTCTGATTATATGATAATGAGCTCTCGAATTTATGATCCAATGTTTAAGTCTCCCTTTGCTGGCAAGATGGGAGAATGATATATTATGCCGCTTTGAATTTCCTTCAAGGAGTTTTTTCAGTACTTCAAGCTGTTCCTTGGTGAATTGGCCAACTAAGTCTTTAGATGTGGTAGCAGTGTTAGCTTTGCTCTCTTGATCTTTCTTTCTATGTCCATGTTTTCAATCTACAAACTTTCCATGGAGTTTCCAACATTTATCTTAAATGTGCTCAATTTTCTTGCAATAGTCACGTGTGACAATTCTTCTTGAACTTCGAGTCATGAGAAGAATTTTGGGAGTAAAGAGCTGAGCTTTCAGTACTTGATGAACTCTCATTTCTATTCATCAAAAACTTCTTTTTACTCTCTTCTCTTTTAACGTCAACACAGACTTTGCTGGTAAATATAAGATGTTTTATTCTCATGATCCTCCATCTCACTTCATCTATCACACTAGGAATTTGATTGTTCTCTTCTTTTCTATGATGAATTTGTACATCATGATATCATGTGGACATTTCCACATATATATCTCAAACATATTCAATTGTAGCATATAATTTGTCAAGGTGTTGAAATATTTGGTGGCACTTAATTTTCCTTGACAAAGATCATATAGTTGGTTTCCATAAACAATTTTGTAGTATTTTTAGTGCTGGAATAAGTTTATCTTGCAACGTCCTAAATTTCTTTGGTTGTTTTACAGAACAAGAAATTGTCTCCTGCTTCAATAGTCATTGGGTTGATTAGCCAAGACATAGCCATATGATCTTGAATTTTTCATGAGCGATAGTTAGGATTAGCGAGCTCAGGAAGTTTGCCATCTCCCGCGAGATGTTCATTTTTTTCTTTTTCACTAACGTACATAAACACATATTAAGACCATTGAGTTTATGATTTGTAATAATGTAATAGAGTTAAGAGGCTGTTTGGATAGAATTTTTGGTTTTCGAGTCAGAAATAACCTCCAAAGTAGTACTTGATGTCTTTATTCCGTACTTAGTCATAAATCATTTGCATATATAGGGCTGGATAAGGATTTGATTGTCGCTTGTTGTAGGAATGGAGCACTGCAACTGCATGAGTCCAACGGTTGTGGTAAGGAGCAGAGTAGAGCCTACAGAGTGGCTGGAGAGATTTCAATGGTTGAGGGATGATTTTGGCTGCTAGATGGTTGTTGGGGTCTCCGACGGTTGTAGGGGCGAGCAGAGGAGGGTCTGCAGGCTGAAGGAGAGCTAGGGTTTGCTTACTTGCTCTGATACCATGAAGGAAAAAATATGTGAGGGAATACTTGTTTAA